TAAAACCTTCGGATTGCTGGCCTAAAAAGATGCCTGCTGAGTGCAATATATAGAGGAAACGCATCTATGCTTGCAATCTGGGTGTTGTGCTTGTTGACTGTGACTATGAGGCAATCAATGCCAGTGAAACGATGAGGCTTCGTGTTTTAACCTGAAAAGTGACCTGTGTGGTCCAATGTTACATGCACAATTGGTGAATCTGGAGAGTTTCACGCTGAATGCTTCACAGCACCCACGCATTGGGGATGGCGTAGGTGCAATGTACAGCCTCCAGAGGATGCAGTGCATGGCAGTGTATCCAGAAGGGCTGGATTTGGCCAAAAAGCACCTCCATATCTTGAATCCACGCGGAAAGCTTCACCCGTTCGTGGACAGCGAAACGACCGTTACGTTACGGGAAGTTCCCCAGCTCCGAGGCCCGGCTGGGATTTCCAGGCGGACCACGAGGAAGATGCGGAAGACTTAAACCTGCCCCATTTCCCTTCCACGAGGCAGGGAGCTTAGCGCTGTTGGCGTTTCTATTTCTATTCTTTTTTTGTCCACAACAAGTGCATAACAAAGGACCTAGCGTTTGGGCTAGCTGAGTTTGTTTTCTTGCTTTAAGCAAGGCAGAGAGGTGTCAGGCCAACAGTATGTCTTTCACCAGACCTTACCTTTGTGAGTAGGGCATCAAGAAATGACCAATACAAGAGTTGCGGTTACTCATCCTTGATTCTTTAAACCAGGATTTTGGCAGTGACGCACTTTTTCAGCCAATTGCCCTAGAGTCAAGTTTCTTCTATTTTGTGATCTTTGTCCAGCTGAAATGATATACAGATGTTCAGTCACGATGTTATGACTGCAAGGACTAATTTGCCAAGGACCAGGATAGAGGCCGCAATGAGCAAGTGACACTTGACAGTTTGGTAATGGATGCTTGCAGTTGTTCTTTGACAAGACACTCCTTCTTAAGATCATGAGGTTGCCAAGTTGCCGCCCTGTGACTCCAGGAGAAGCTCTTCCTGGCTGAGCTGTTTGAAGAGGGAGAGGAGTGAATTCTTTGTGCCCTGCACCAGGAGGTCTTGCCTAGGATAAAGAGATGTAAGAGGCTTGAAGTGTGGGATGGGGGTCTCCTTTTGCCATGAGATAATGAAGGAGGACTCTCGCATGGATTGAACTGGGTTCTTGTTTCCATCCAGGAGTCTTACGGACCCTACGCATGGATTGAACATCAGCTCGGCTCTCAGCAATCAATGGACAGCCTAAAGGGCTTGCAAGCTAAAATACTGTTTTAATCCGTGGTAGAAAGACTCTGACTTGAACAGCCATCCCTTGAGAAGGTCTTTACATAGGTCATTCCGAATGACTTTTTCGTCATATCGGACTCAACTCCACGGGGCCAACAAATTCAAGGCATTCGGCAGTTCGGCTCAACGAAGAAGGCTTTCCAATTTCGTGCATGAAAGACGAAGGCTGGCAAGCAGCAATGACAAGGGCCACAAGGGCCACTCAAGCACCGCCGCTCATGGCGAGGTATGCATGACCACTCGCCCTTCCCCCAAAATGACACCAGATACCACCAAACTTCCTTAGGTCATGGGAAGTGAGTACCATCAGAACACGAGGATCAACGGAGTATTTCTTGGTTCAATTGAACCGAGGATCGCCGCGGTTGAACTGAAGCAGCCGAATCACCTCTTCCTTCGCCGACATATCGCCTGAAGGTGGACCCAGTCGATCGTTGCAGAAGTCATTGTGCTGAATGCCATCCTCTTCGGCCGTAGTCTTATGATGATAGAAACGATGTAGTCTTCGGTCATTTTACGAGCCTTGCTGAGTGGAAAGTATGATGATTGGCCTTTGACAGTCAACCCTGGGGCGTTGCCTTTGAGATTCATTCCACTTCATTCCACTTAGGCTTGGAAACCGACATCCGATCCCCTGTATGGGTGCCTGCGCTAGCTTGGCGGGGAATTGTTTGACCATGAACAGAAGCAATGCTTTCCACATGAATGCGCACAGTTTTCACTCAGTCAGTCTGAGAACAAAGGGACAGTCTACCAGGGTTTACCTGCAGGGCGCTGTTCTTTCCGCAACGAGCAAAAAGACCTTCGTAGCTTTGAGCTTATTGAGCTTCGCTCTTGTCAGGTGCCAGTGGAGCATCTCATTCTCATTTTCTTCACCGGAGAGTCCAACACCCAGCTTCCCAGAGAGTCCACCGCTCGGCCACAGGAGAAAACCGCTGAACCGGTATAGCCAGGCTACATTCGGTTTAACCAAGATAACCGAGGACCTTGCAAGAGGAGTTTTTCTTTTCTTTTTTCGGAGCATCGAGCAACCATATTGAGGTATTTGCTGCTTTTTTTTTGAGAGATGCCCAACAGCACAGATTCATGCGGCAAACAGCACATATGCAGCAACTGTGCCCAAGGCAGGCTGTCCGCTTGGCCCGTGGGTTGCCCAGTGAGATGCAGAGCTACAGAGTCAGTAGAGAGGGCTACAACACATGAAGAAACACATGATTGAAACATGCTTCATTTAATTCCATCGCTTTCTCGTCTTCTCATGGGGCTTGTTGCAATTTCTTCATCCGCAGCAGTTGTGATGCTTGATGTTTCCGATAAGATTCCAAAGCTGCATCCAAAGGCTATGGGTGTTACTACTTTGGCCGCATGGTTGCACGCAATCGGAGTCAAGAGTGTGAAGAGGGGTTTCTAAAGCCTGGGATGTTCTTTGTTGCTTTAGATCCTGACCGGGGAAGCTTGCAATCGCTGCAGCTGCTATTGGGTGCCAATACTTACAAGAGCACATCAACATCTGGTAGTGAATCGATAGTTCCTGGTCCGTCCTACCCCAAATAGTTCAATCCAATCTTCTGTGTATAGGGTTTTTCTATTTTAAATTACAAAAGCCAGCGGGCTAAAGCCAGTTTCTGCGAACAAAGTAGGAGGCAGACGGGCTGGACTTCAGCCTGGAACCTAATAATGTTTTAGCTTTTTGTGGATTTTTTTTTGCAAGTTGGTGATGCAGAAAGTGCTCCCGGCATCATCAGCATCATGAAGGGGGACAGAGATTGCCTAGCATGATGTTTTAAACGTTCGAAAGTAACTTGCGATTGGATGGTGGGCTTCCTTCTCAAGCCATCAGGCCATCATAGTTGGTCTTTTCCAACCTTCCTCCATCCATCTCGAAGTATCCTTTCGTGCATCCAAAGCCGAGCAATCTCTGCCAATCTTATCCACGCTATCGGCATTAAGAACAACGCTTGTATCACTCGTAGCAACACAATTGCAGTGTGCAGCGTTACATCATCGACATCATGCGAACACAAACAAATGCAAAGGACTGGACTTCGACAGTACGCGGGTGGGTCACTTTCAAAGGCCGAGTCACTGAAGCTTTTCAGAGGGCATCGTCACGAACGGAACAAAGGGCATCGCTACGAGTCCGGAGCGATCGGACGCGAACCGAACGGGGCGCTCCTGGCATCGCTATGAGTAACAAGAAGTTAGTCGAGAAGCGTCAGTCGAGAAGTTGCATGTTCACGAGCATGGACCGGAAGGTCTGCGCCTGTGCACCGGACAGATGTTACAGCGGGAGAGGGGTGCAGGAGCGATGTTCCTTGAGTCGTTTGTGATATCCGATTCAGCCTGCACCTTTAACAATTGCCAACACTGGTCAAATGAGAGTGTTGAATGCGTCTTTTGAGTGCTCAGCGACCTGTAGCTTCTGAGAATGGTTCTGCTCTAAATGGAACATCCATCGGGATACCGGAATTGTTGAAGCATTTCTTGCATCATCAACTACAGCAAAACTTTCAATCTAGTAACAAACGGCGACAAAACACATTTTCCATTCCCATTGACGTTTTCTCTATGACATGCTTGGGCCTTGACGCCCGAAGGCAAAATTGGTTTCACAAAAATAATCAATGCAATTGACAGAAAATCGTGGTTTCACAATTCATACGTCACCAAGTTACGAATCATAGGCCCGTTGCCCTGATGTGAAACATAGAGACAATTTGGTGGGTGGTTCAGGCTCACCTCCGGTGAGCAAGTGTGGAGAACCTGCTGTTGTTAAGGTATTCTTGTTGTCAAGGTTTCTAAGACCGGAAGAACAGTTTGAATGGAGACAAATCGGACGGAGACAAGCAAGAGCAGGAAAAAAACACATGGTTGTCGATCTAAAGGTCCTAGACAGGATTGTTGATAACGATGACCCGGAACATATCAAAATCTCATTTGGCGAAAGTTTTTTCTCGAGTTGGCGAAAGTAAATCTGTTTTTTGGCGAAAGATATGGCTAAAGATGTTCTTTCTGCTGCTGTTGCGACTACTACTACTACTACTACTACAACTACTACAACAACAACAACTACTACTACTCCTACTCCTACACTCCTGCTGCTGCTGCTACTACTACTCCTGCTGCTGCAGCTACTACTACTACTACTACTACTAGTACTACTACTACTACTACTACTACAACTACAACTACTACAACAACAACAACAACTACTACTCCTACTCCTACACTCCTGCTGCTGCTGCTGCTACTACTACTGCTGCTGCAGCTACTACTACTACTACTACTACTACTACTACTAGTACTAGTACTAGTACTACTACTACTACTACTACTCCTGCTCCTGCTCCTGCTTTGGCGGGGTGGCTTTGCCACAAAACTCTACCCCGCAAAAGGCGAAAGTTTGGCGAAAGTTCAGCTCAAGATTGGCGAAAGTTCACCCTGCCACATCTGACCCCCAGCCCATTATGAGAAATCTGAGTGACCGGCTACTACAGTGATTCTTGCAATTTTGATTCTTGCTGACACCCAGGAGAAACAAAAGAGACATACAGGGTGTCAACAGTTAAGTAGAAGACACATGCTGACAAGCAGTGAAGTTTTTATTTTGTATTTGCCACTAAAGAAGAAGCCATTGACGTGAACAAAATTGATATCCATCATACAACATACATGGCACACATAAATACAACATACTTCGGCGAAAGATAAAGCGCAGGAAGGCGACAGTTTGGCTAAAGTAATTTTTTGGCTAAGATGACGGATCCCGGATAAAGGAATTTAGATCAACACCCACATGTTTTAGAAATAGAAAGGAAGGGTTGATACAACACAGGACAGCTGATGGGACTCGCTTTATCTGATGATCCGAAGTTACCAGCCAACTTTGGCCCAGGTTTTTTGGCTGATTGCGCGGTTCCCTGTCAGTCACAAAAAACCTATTCAATACAAAGAAATGTTTATGTTTTACACATCTGGATCACAAACAGCAAAATAGCGGAGACTTACAGCATTT